GTTGATGCATCTGAGAAGGGGAGTAGGCGCCCTCTTGTCTCAGCGTCGGTCACCCGATGGACCCCTACTTCCCTGTGGGTTCTACTCCAGGAAGCTTTCCTCCGCAGAATGCAACTACCAGATTGGAGACAGGGAGTTGTTGGCCATTATTCAGGCTCTCAAGGAATGGAGGCACCTGCTCGAGGGTTCTGTGGTTCTCATTCTCACTGACCACAAAAACCTGACGTATCTCTCGGAGGCTAAGAGGTTAATGCCCCGTCAGGCCAGATGGGCTCTGTTCTTGTCACGTTTCAACTATGTGGTCTCCTATTTGCCTGGCTCCAAGAATGTCAGGGCTGATGCCTTGTCACGGCAATACTCTGAGCTGTCCAAGGAGGACTCTGAGCCGACCTCGGTCATACCCCCGGACCAGATTCTGGCTGTCATTCGTACCAACCTGATTTCTCCCCTTGGGGAGCAGATTTTGGCAGCTCAAACTGGTTCTCCTCCTGAGAGATCGGCTGGAAGATGTTTCGTACCTGAGGGATTGCGCACCCGCTTGCTACATGCCTACCATAATTCCAAGGCTGCCAGCCATTCAGGTAGGAACCAGTTGTCCTGGGTCGTCTCTCGGTCATTCTGGTGGCCATCTCTCCTTTCCAACTTCACCTCATACGTCGAGCGGCATGTTCGGTCTGTGCCCAGAATAAATCTCCTCGGCATCTTCCATTGGGTCTGCTGCAACCCATTCCCAATGGGGAGCGTCCCTGGTCACACCTAGGCATGGATTTTATTGTGGCCCTCCCGGCGTCTCAAGGTCATACGGTCATTCTTATGGTGATTGATCTTTTTCCAAGATGTGCCATTGCGTTCCGTTCAAGAAATTGCCGACTGCGGGAGAACTGGCTACGGTTTTCGCCAGGGAGATCTTTCGCTTACATGGATTGCCCAAGGTGATTGTCTCGGACCGTGGGAGCCAGTTTGTGTCCAGGTTCTGGCACGCCTTTTGCTCCCAGTTGGGTATCAAGCTCTCCAATGGGGCTGTGGAGCGTTCCAATCAGGCCCTGGAACAATTTCTTCGCTGCTATATATCTGACCATCAAGACAATTGGGTCGATCTCCTGCCATGGGCAGAGTTTGCAAGGAACTCGGCTGTCAACTCCTCCTCCGAGATGTCCCTCTTCATGGCCAACTATGGATTCAAACCCGCGGTATTGGCTGAGTTGTTCTCGCCACAGGACATTCCGGCTGTGGATAACCATTTGGCTGCCCTGCGTTCCTCGTGGGGGCAGATCCAGAGGTCCTTGAAGCACAGTGCCAGAAGCTCCAGGCTGATCACAGACGGTTGCCCACTCCTTCATACCAGGTCGGAGATCGGGTGTGGTTGTCCACTCGCAACTTCAATCTTCGGGTGCCCGCACCGAAACTGGCTCCCCGTTTTGTTGGTCCTTTCCGCATCCTCCGCAGGGTGAACCCGGTTGCCTATGCCCTTGCTCTTCCTCCTGGGATGCGTATCTCCAATGTCTTCCACATATCCGTTGAAGCCTCTGGTCTGTAATCGCTTTACTGCCTCTCCGCCTCGGCCTCGTCCTATCCGGGTTGACGGTCATGAGGAGTATGAGGTGAGCCGCATCCTGGACTCTCGGTTGGTCTGCGGTCAGGTGCAGTTCCTGGTCCATTGGCGTGGTTATGGCCCCAAGGAGCGTTCCTGGGTTCCTTCCGCGGATGTTCATGCTCCTGCCCTCCGCGCTTTTCACGCCTGATTTCCTCAGCAGCCTTTTGTGGAGCCGCGGAGGGGGAGGGGTCCTTGAGGAGGAGCTACTGTCAAGGTCCTACCTTTCCTCAGAGACTGTGTTGCTCCATGTGCTGGCATCCATCTTAAGTTCCTGCAAAGCATGGTGGGAGTCTTTATGCTTTCAGGCCTCTGCGGCTCCTCCTCCAGAACGGTGTGGCTGATCACATTTAAGCCTGCTGTCTGCGGTTTGCTCTTTGCATTCGTGTCCTGTATGTTCCTTTGCAGCAAGCTCTTCTGTTCTCGTTGCTCTCCTCCTGGTAACCGACTCGGCTTGGACAAGACTATTCTCTGCTTTATCCCATTACCTGACCTCCCGTTTCTGAACCCGGCCCGTGAACTGAGTATTCTTGTCTACCGTATTGTACGGTTTGCTCCGTTGTTATCGACCCGACCTGTCCGACCACGCTATACGTTTTCCATCTGGCTCCCAATAGCTGTACGCCATTGGCGGCAGTCGTTACCGCAGCTGGGGTTACTCGGGGGCCGCGACCTGGTCTCAGGCTGCCTCAAGTTAATCCCCACCATCAGGGGCCGTGGTGAAGGGCAGCCTGGGGCTTAGACTCCGCGCCCTGAGGGACTCTGGTCTGTGAGTAGCAGCTGTCGTCAGTCGCTGCGTGACCCTACCATTAGACCTGCTTGCCCATTCCACCGCTCCTGCCGCGACAGCAACAAGTTAAATTAGGGTTGCCACCTGTCCAGGATTCACCCGGACAGTCCAGGTTTTGAATCATGTGTCCAGGTTTCAGACCTCTGAAAATCTGCTACAAGATCTCTCCTCCTCACTGAACATCTACTACAGGACATCTCCTCACTGAACATCTACTACATGACCTCTCTTCCTCACTGAACATCTACTACATGACCTCTCCTCCTCACTGAACATCTACTACATGACCTCTCCTCCTCACTGAACATCTACTACATGACCTCTCCTCCTCACTGAACATCTACTACATGACCTCTCCTCCTCACTGAACATCTACTACAGGACCTCTCCTCCTCACTGAACATCTACTACAGGACCTCTCCTCCTCACTGAACATCTACTACAGGACCTCTCCTCCTCAATGTACTACTACTACAGAACCTCTTCTCCTCACTGAACATCTAACGCAGGACCTCTCTTCCTCACTGTACATGTACCGCAGGACCTCTCCTCCTCACTGAACACCTACCGCAGGATCTCTCCTCCTCACTGAACATCTACCGTAGGACCTCTCCTCCTCACTGTACATCTACCGCAGCACCTCTCCTCCTCACTGAACATCTACCGCAGCACCTCTCCTCCTCACTGAACATCTACCGCAGCACCTCTCCTCCTCACTGAAAATCCAACGCAAGACCTCTCTTCCTCACTGAACATCTACCGCATGACCTCTCCTCCTCACTGAACATCTACGCGCAGCACCTCTCCTCCTCACTGAACATCTACCGCAGCACCTCTCCTCCTCACTGAACATCTACCGCAGGACCTCTCCTCCTCACTGAACATCTACCGCAGGACCTCTCCTCCTCACTGAACATCTACCGCAGGACCTCTCCTCCTCACTGTACATCTACCGCAGGACCTCTCCTCCTCACTGAACATCTACCGCAGGACCTCTCCTTCTCACTGAACATCCAACGCAGGACCTCTCCTCCTCACTGAACATCTACCGCAGGACCTGTCCTCCTCACTGAACATCTACCGCAGGACCTCTCCTCCTCACTGAACATCTACCGCAGGACCTCTCCTCCTCACTGAACATCTACCGCAGGACCTCTCCTCCTCACTGAATATCTACCGCAAGACCTCTCCTCCTCACTGAACATCTACCGCAGGACCTCTCCTCCTCACTGTACATCTACCCCAGGACCTCTCCTCCTCACTGAACATCTACAGCAGCAACTCTCCTCCTCACTGAACATCTAACACAGGACCTCTCCTCCTCAATGTACATGTACCGCAAGACCTCTCCTCCTTCCTGAACATCTACCGCAGCACCTCTCCTCTTCACTAAACATCTACCGCAGCACCTCTCCTCACTGAACATCTAACGCAGGACCTCTCCTCCTCACTGAACAACTACCGCAGGACCTCTCCTTCTCACTGTACATCTACCGCAGGACCTCTCCTCCTCACTGTACAATGAAATCAGAGGCGTTCCTCTGCTGGTTGTGTGACATCCCTTACGGTCATCATAGATCCCTTCCAGCTCCAGCTGAGTGCAGCCAGAATCAGAATGACCACACCACACCTGAGTACAATTACAGCAGACCTGTGCAGTGTGATCACCTGGTGATGATGTCTGGTGATTGGTGAGCTCTGGGAGCAGACCCAAGCCTTCGGTGTCTTGCACTCATTAAGGGTTTAATCACTGAACACTGACTGTAGAGGATATCGGTGTGGGAAGTTCTGTCTGTGCAGTGCAGGGATGTAGTTTGTAATAATAGATTCAACAGCACAGAGCTCTGCACTATATACTACATTGTACATTACACACTCCTGCCCTATGTATACTATATTGTACATTACACACTCCTGCCCTATGTATACTACATTGTACATTACACACTCCTGCCCTATGTATACTACATTGTACATTACACACTCCTGCCCTATGTATACTACATTGTACATTACACACTCCTGCCCTATATATACTACATTGTACATTACACACTCCTGCTCTATGTATACTACATCTTACATTACAGACTCCTGCACTATATATACTACATCGTACATTACAGACTCCTGCACTATATATATACTACATTGTACATTACAGACTCCTGCACTGTATATACTACATTGTACATTACAGACTCCTGCACTGTATATACTACATTGTACATTACAGACTCCTGTACTATATATACTACATTGTACATTACAGACTCCTGCACTTTATTCTGTATTTTTTTGCTCCATAAGACGCACTTTTCCCCAAAAAAAATATGGGGGAAAATGTCTGTGCGTCTTATGGAGTGAATACTGACCAGTCCTCCACCTGTCACTGCCGCCGTGTTAGGGCCAGTGGCTGTCCCTATCCCACTGCAGGCTGTCACTGAAGTTCACCCTACCTTATCCCCTCCCTCAGTGGGCTGTCCCTGCAGCTCTTCATAGCAGGAAGTTTCCCCTCGCCGAACCCAGCCAGCTTGCTCTGCAGTCCTGTCCGCCCTGCAGGCGTGGCCTGTCCTCGGAGCTCCTCCCCGATCCTGGCATGTCTATGTACTGGGCTCCCTGCTCTGCAGTCTGGTCCAGTCTGCAGGTGTGGCCTGTCCTTATAGCTCCTCCCCTTTCCTGGCATGTGTCCATAGAGCGCTCCCTGCTCTGCAGTCCGGTCCTATCTGCTAGTGTGGCATGTCCTCGGAGCTCAGTGCGCCCCCTGCCTTCTATAGCCTGCCTTCTGTAAGTTAATAATGACAGATGCTGGGAGTTGTAGTCCTTTTCCTTGATGTATGGTGTCAGATCATTTGATATTCTGGGTGGAGGGGCCCTATTGGGACTTTATATGATGTAGTATGCCTGTAGTCTCTGGTCATCCCCTGTACCGTGTCCGCAGTCTCTGGTCCTCTCCTGTACCGTGTCCGCAGTCTCTGGTCCTCTCCTGTACTGTGTCCTCAGTCTCTGGTCCTCTTCTGTACCGTGTCCGCAGTCTCTGGTCCTCTCCTGTACCATGTCCGCAGTCTCTGGTCATCTCCTGTACCGTGTCCGCAGTCTCTGGTCATCTCCTGTACCGTGTCCGCAGTCTCTGGTCATCTCCTGTAGTATGTCCGCAGTCTCTGGTCATCTCCTGTAGTATGTCCGCAGTCTCTGGTCATCTCCTGTAGTATGTCTGCAGTCTCTGGTCATCTCCTGTACTATGTCTGCAGTCTCTGGTCATCTCCTGTACTATGTCCGCAGTCTCTGGTCATCTCCTGTAGTATGTCTGCAGTCTCTGGTCATCTCCTGTACTATGTCTGCAGTCTCTGGTCATCTCCTGTACTATGTCTGCAGTCTCTGGTCATCTCCTGTACTATGTCTGCAGTCTCTGGTCATCTCCTGTAGTATGTCTGCAGTCTCTGGTCATCTCCTGTAGTATGTCTGCAGTCTCTGGTCATCTCCTGTACTGTGTCCGCAGTCTCTGGTCATCTCCTGTACTATGTCCGCAGTCTCTGGTCATCTCCTGTACTACTGTACTATGTCAGGGACCCTGAGGAAGTCACGTGCTAAACGTGATGCAACACGTCGGTACGCGGGGAGGAGCTTCCGGGAACGTGGTGACGTCACTTCCGGCGTGGGGGCCATATTGGAACACCTTTTCAGATACCCATGCAGTACACCCATAGCATGTGGTAGATGAGCTGAGATGTGAAGAAAACAATGTGAGTGGGCATTTTATTTGAATTTTATGCTGGAATAAACAGGTTACACTATGGAGGATCTCTGTTTGTGTTTTACTATGATCCTGGGAGAAGCTTGCTGTTAGCTGGTTGGAGGCTGGAGACGCATACCATTATTGAGGGGAAGCCTAGGAGGAGTCTGTCCTTGTAGGATCTGTTGATCCCCCAAAGTGAGCTGGCCCTTTGGGGTCTAAGCATGGAGGTGAGGGGTATTTTGGCCACTGGAGGATTATCATTTGTTGATCACCTACACATCACTACAACTGCATGAGAGTGAAGTTGGAGCACCACCTAATGTGTTGTTGTTTTTTTGGGACTTTTTACAGCATTTTTTGCAGTTGGTTTAGCACTTTTATAGTGGCATTTCACATTTTTTTTGTGTGTACGGATAACACTTCACTATGTGCACAGTATATTCCCAATGAGAGGGAATTCACGTGATACACATAATCTATTATTATTATATATATATTTATTTATTTATATGTGGATTCCTCTGATGTGGATGTCAGGGGGATCGGATATTGAGCACTAATTTTCTATTTATTATTCACCAGCTATCATTTAGTTTTCTGTTAGCGCTACAATGTGGTATTTATTGTTTCATACACATATTGGGTATAAGGTTAGTATCAGCAGCTTTGGGATTAGGACTCCATTTAAGTGCAGGAGGATCCTCTTTATATTATGGTCAGGTGCGTCTTATGGAGCTAAAAATACGGTATACTACATTGTACATTACAGACTCCTGCACTATGTATACCACATTGTACATTACAGACTCCTGCACTATACAGTGGGGATCGAAAGTTTGGGCACCCCAGCTAAAAATTTGTATTAATGTGCTTAAAGAAGCCAAGAAAAGATGGAAAAATCTCCAAAAGGCATCAAATTACAGATTAGACATTCTTATAATATGTCAACAAAAGTTAGATTTTATTTCCATCATTTACACTTTCAAAATAACAGAAAACAAAACAATGGCGTCTGCAAAAGTTTGGGCACCCTGCAGAGTTAATATCTTGTACTGCCCCCTTTGGCAAGTATCACAGCTTGTAAACGCTTTTTGTAGCCAGCCAAGAGTCTTTCAATTCTTGTTTGAGGTATCTTTGCCCATTCTTCCTTACAAAAGTCTTCCAGTTCTTTGAGATTTCTGGGCTGTCTGTCACGCACGGCTCTTTTAAGGTCTATCCATAGATTTTCAATTATGTTGAGGTCAGGAGATTGTGAAGGCCATGGCAAAACCTTCAGTTTACGCCTCTTGATGTAATCCCCCATGGATTTCGAGGTGTGTTTAGGATCATTATCCATTTGTAGAAGCCATCCTCTCTTTAACTTCAGCTTTTTCACAGATGGCATCAAGTTACCATCCAAAATTTGCTGAAATTTTATTGAATCCATTTTTCCTTCTACTCGTGAGATGTTCCCTGTGCCACTGGCTGCAACACAACCCCAAAGCATGATTGATCCAACCCCATGCTTAACAGTTGGACAGAGGTTCTTTTCATTAAATTCTGTGCCCCTTCTTCTCCAAACGTACCTTTGCTCATTCCGGCCAAAAGTTCAATTTTAACCTCATCGGTCCACAGAACTTGTTTCCAAAATGCATCAGGCTTGTCTATATGTTCATTTGCAAAGTTCAAACGATGATTATTGTGGTGAGGACGTAGAAGAGGTTTTCTTCTGATGACTCTTCCATGAAGACCATATTTGTACAAGTATCTCTTTATAGTGGAATAGTGTACCACAACTCCAGTGTCTGCCAGATCTTTCTGGAGGGATCGTGCAGTCAAACGTGGGTTTTGAATTGTTTTTCTCACAATCTCTGCGAGCTGTTCTGTCTGATATTTTTCTTGGTCTTCCAGATCTTGCTTTAATTTCCACGGTTCCTGATGACTGCCATTTCTTAATTACATTACGAACAGAGGATATTGACATCTGAAAACGCTTTGCTATCTTCTTATAGCCTTCTCCAGCTTTGTGAGAGTCAACTATTTTCAGTTTCAGTTTTCTAGACAACTGCTTAGAAGAACCCATGGTGCTGATTGTTGGGCAAGGTCAGATGAGTCTGGGCATTTAAAAACCTTTGAGATTGACATCACCTGGTCTTCCCAGACGATGATTGAGAACAATCCATGACACTGGCAGGTCTCAGCTTTGCAAAGGGGGCAGTGCATGCTATAAATTCTGCAGGGTGCCCAAACTTTTGCAGATGGCATTTTTTTGTTTTCTGTTATTTTGAAAGTGTAAATGATGGAAATAAAAATCTAACTTTTGTTGACATATTATAAGAATGTCTAATCTGTAATTTGATGCCTTTTGGAGATTTTTACATCTTTCCTTGGCTTCTTTATGCACATTAATACAAATTTTTAGCTGGGGTGCCCAAACTTTCGATCCCCACTGTATATACTACATTATACATTACAGACTCCTGCCCTATGTATACTACATTGTACATTACAGACTCCTGCACTATGTATACTACATTGTACATTACATACTCCTGCCCTATGTATACTACATTTTACATTACATACTCCTGCCCTATGTATACTACATTTTACATTACAGACTCCTGCACTATGTATACTACATTGTACATTACAGACTCCTGCCCTATGTATACTACATTGTACATTACAGACTCCTGCACTATGTATACTACATTGTACATTACAGACTCCTGCCCTATGTATACTACATTGTACATTACAGACTCCTGCCCTATGTACACTACATTGTACATTACAGACTCCTGACCTATGTATACTACATTGTACATTACAGACTCCTGCCCTATGTATACTACATTGTACATTACAGACTCCTGACCTATGTATACTACATTGTACATTACAGACTCCTGCCCTATGTATACTACATTATACATTACAGACTCCTGCCCTATGTATACTACATTGTACATTACAGACTCCTGCCCTATGTACACTACATTGTACATTACAGACTCCTGCCCTATGTATACTACATTGTACATTACAGGCTCCTGCCCTATGTACACTACATTTTACATTACAGACTCCTGCACTGTATATACTACATTTTAAATTACAGACTCCTGCACTATATTTTAAGCTATAGATAGGGATGCACTGAAATTTCGGTGGCCCGAAAACACCCCTTTCGGCCGAAATGAAAAAAAGCACCGATACAGGTGCCAAAAAACCCCGCCCCCTCACCGCTGCCCACCCGCTGCTGCCACGCCGCCACTGCTCGGTAGTCCTCATTCTTACTGTTAGGGATCCGGGTGTGACCAGAAATGTGTGGACTGACACAGGGAAGTAGCAGGCTTCAAGAACACAGGCGTAGTCAGGGCTGGAGAGGTGGAATGGTCAGGCAGGCCGCAAGGTACTGTCAGGCTCCGCCCAACGGGATCTCTGGTGGTCCACAGCACAGGGTTTTTCCCAGGACGCGGAGTCTAAGTCCCAGTCTGCCTTTTCACCAGGGCCCCTGATGGTGGGGATGGACTTGGTGCACGGCGGTGGCAGAGGGGTCCCGCTGAGGGTATGTGCCCGGGATGAGCCTGCTGTGAAGGGGATGACAGATCCCGATCCGAGCGGGATGGATGGGATGACAGATCCCGATCCGAGCGGGATGGATGGGCGACTGTTAGGAGTGAGCGAGGTCAGACTAGCCGGGTCGGTATCGTGCGGGCAGCGTGGTACAGGGGGAGCAAGCGGAGAATGGTCGGGGTCACAAGCCAGGTTTTCAGCAGGTAGCGGGCAGCGTGGTACCGAGGGGCAGGCAGAAGGATGGTCAGGAACGAGCCGGGGTCAGAGCAGGAGAGGGTCAGCGTAAATCAGAACAGGCAGAGTTTGGCAACAAGGAAACGTACTTACAGGACAGGAACAAGATACAGGATACAAGGGCTCATGGGAAACATTTACACCAAGGCACAGATCACAGGCCTGGTCATTCCTTAAATACACCTGCCCTAATCAGCCCCAGGTGTTGGCTGACTGCAGAAGTGAGCTTCTGGCTGCTGAGAGCACCTGCTGGTCAGCCCTGGTACTGCAGCCCACACGGCAGGTGAGTCCCACCACCAGTGCTGAGTCCATTCCTGACACTTACCTGAGAAACCATCGAACAATCCCGGCGCTGGGCATAGAGATAAGTGAAGGAAAGATGGCCTCCACTCATCTCTATGGCCTTGGATGACAGGAGCGATGTCACTTCTGCTTCCGGCCTTTTTTTTTTTTTTTTAAAGCACTAGATCAATGGGTTTTTTGATCCAATGCTTTACATTGCAGAGGAGAGATGTAGGGTCTTATTGACCCCATACTGTAGCTCTCCATAAAGAGGACCTGTCACTAATTGTTTCTATCACAAGGGATGCTTGCATTTCTTGTGATAAGGATAAAAGTGATTTAAAATTTTTTTAAAGAGACAGTGAAAAAAAAAAAATTACACAATTTAAAAAAAAAAAAGTTTAAAGTGCCCCCCATCCCCGCACGTAGTGATGAATGCATACATAGGCCATGCCCATATATGTAAATGGTGTTCAAACCACGGATATGAGGCATCGCCCCGAACTTCGGAGCAAGAGCAATAATTCTCGCACTAGACCTCGTCTGTAATTTTACACTACTAACCTGTAGACATTTTTAAACATCACCCATGGAGATTTTTAAGTTCTGCAGTTTCACGCCATTCCACGAGCGTGTGCAATTTTAAAGCGTGACATGTAGGGTATCTACTTG